ACCAATGGTTTGGATGCTAAAACCAATACAGTGGTACCTCGGGTTAAGAACTTAATTCGTTCTGGAGTTCCGTTCTTAACCTGAAACTGTTCTTAACCTGAGGTACCACTTTAGCTAATGGGGCCTCCCGCTGCCGCCACACAATTTCTGTTCTCATCCTGAAGCAAAGTTCTTAACCTGAGGTACTGTTTCTGGGTTAGCGGAGTCTGTAACCTGAAGAGTCTGTAACCCGAGGTACCACTGTACTTTGGACCCTAACCAGATGCCTGCGAAGAGAAAGACTCCTCTCATTTGCATATGGGAGCTGCTACTAAGATCCATCTGAGGATTCCTCTGGCAAAATGAAATAAGGGAATTTTCACCATATACCTCTGATCTCTGCAACCCCCAGCCCCAGGTAGAAGGGAAATTGGTGGAAGTCATTCCACTTTCTGATGAAGAGAATGTCCCATGAGTAGGACTGCACCAGCAGAACCCTAGATAAGATCCAAGTCCTTATAATCAATTAATTAAAATGCATCCAGGCAGATGGTGGGGTACAATTATTATTATTATTATTATTATTATTATTTAATTGGTTGCTGTCTTAGGGTTGTCTCCAACGAAGGTCTACTCAGAAGAGACCCTTTGAAATTAATGGATCTAATTTAATCACGCCCATTCATGTTGATAGGTCTGCAATGAGTATGACTAACATACTCTAGAAACCCCTAGATATTAACAAAAAGTAGATAATTTATGAGTATGTGTGCCTCAGAGCTCAGGAGAAAATCCCTTAGGATTAGAAAGCAAGAAGCACATTTCTGGGGGAAGGAAAATAAAGTGAAAGGACGCAGTAGGAATATACCGAGCGTAGCCACACTTGCAATCTAGTTGAAAGGATCAAAGGAAGGAATAGTTTAACTTGCCAGGCCTTTCTAGGCTGCAAAAACATCCTTTGTTAGCATTCTCTGAGGATTGTGGGGAGACGGGCATGGTATTCAAGAGGGACGCATCCTTTCGCTGAGGCCTGCAAAAGCACTGCAGAAAGTTGCCCCTCTAGCAACGGATGTCTAAATGCATGAAAAAGAACTGTTGGCAGATAAGGATGAAGTTTGGACAATGAGAAGCAAAATGGCAGGTTGTCACAAGCGAGCAGTTCCCTGGCTGCAAAGGCCGTCCCGAATTCTGCAGAGAGGATCTCGTGCCCGAGCCAATCTTGTTGTTTTGTCAACGTGTCATCCGAAAGAGATTCAGATCAGCTGCTCGTCTTGCTGAATAATAATAATAATAAAAGGAGAGAGAGGGAGAAAGTGCACTTCAAAGCCAAACAATAGAGATAAACAAATATGCTAACATGAGTTTCCCCACCTCCCTTGACAGAACGATTCTTGAAAAATTCTGCACATCAGTACAACTGTATTAAATAAAGCAAGGGTGGGACTCTGGCAGCTCATAAGCTGGATCCAGCCTCCGAGGCAATTGCATTTGGCTCTTGGTAACCTCACCAAGTTATGGCAAATATATACCGTATTTTTTGCTCTATAAGACTCACTTTTTCCCTCCTAAAAAGTAAGGGGAAATGTGTGTGCGTCTTATGGAGCAAATGCAGGCTGCACAGCTATCCCAGAAGCCAGAACAGCAAGAGGGATTGCTGCTTTCACTGCACAGTGATCCCTCTTGCTGTTCTGGCTTCTGAGATTCAGAATATTTTTTTCTTGTTTTCCTCCTCCAAAAACTAGGTGAGTCTTGTGGTCTGGTGCATCTTATAGAGCAAAAAACACCGTATTTCAAGTTTGTAAGAGGCATAGCACTTCAAAGCTACATCTCTCATTAAAAATTTTTATGTAGCATTCTTATGGCATTGATAACAACCCACCTTTCTCCCAAACTACAGAACCCAGAGAGGTGTAGTTTCTAGTTAACCCCCCTCCCCCGCTCTTCCAGGTTGTTGTCATCCATCTGTATTGAGAGACAATGGAGTGCGCCTCCAGGAGTAAAGTCAAATTGATGGGAGAATCACAGCGACTGTTGAGGCTGCAGAAACAGGCAACTCGTAACTGCTGCCTCCGGCGTTGTTTTTGCTGCATTAGCAGCACCGAAGTGATCTCTCTGGGGCGCAAGCCTGCACAGTGTGTATGGAGGTCCTGGGCTGCCCAGACGACAAGACTCCCCTCTCAGCCTCGCTGATGTGGTGCAAAGGAAAGCAGAGCAATACGTATGGCACCAGCTTGGCTGCAGGAATTGCTGGAAGGAGGCGTACAAGACACCATCCAACTGCCTTAGGGACTCCACTCTGGATTTGTGTAGGGTTTATTCCTTAGCCTTTTTGAAATATACTCGGAGTCGAGAGTGGATTTCATGCTCTTTATTCAGCTCATAGTGGTGAGGAGGAATGGAAGTTTCCCCAGAATGTCTGCTTTATATACATTATTTACACAATGGGCCCCACGTGATTGGCTAATTCTGGGATTCTCCTGAAGGCGAATCAGGTTGCAGATTCACTTCCACCTGGAGCTGGATTGGGTGGCTCCTGTGGACCAATCAGACTGCTGCATTCTGGGTCCTATTGTTCTAGGACCAATCAGACTGCTGCATTTTGGATCCTATTCAACTCAGTACATAACACTTTTCTTCTCTCAAAGGTGTCCCAAAAGGCAGCAGGTACAGATTTTTCCTTGGGCTTTACTCCCGAAGCTTTTCTAACGAGTGAATATAGCCACAAGGGCAGTGGAGGTTTAGGATCAGAGTTTTCCTTCTTCCAGGCATATATATTCAAACAATACCACAAATGCTTTTACAGGATGTTGTTGTTAATAGTTGTAGCAGTTTTCATATTAAAAATATAGTGCTGCTCATAAAGTGGCACTTTGCACATGCTCCAAAGAATCCTGTGATTTGTTCCTCCCCGCTTTTCTCTCTAAAATCATGCTCATTCCATCAGCAGGAATCATGATGCCGGGCTCATTTTATCAGCTTTCCCGAAAGACCAGTTCCATCGGACACTTCCCATCCTTGAACTGTTTCTGAACTGCTATTTAAGAACGGGTGCCTGCGTTTGCTTTTTTCCTCTTCCCTCCCCGTTCCTTGCCCCTTGTGTGTCTTTTTTAAAAAGGTTGCAAGCCTGTGGGCACAGACTGTCCTGTTTTAACTAAACATTTGTGAGCAACTCTGGGAGCCTTTTTGGCTGAAGTGTACGGTGATAATGCTTCAGACAAACAACTAAATATCACTGGAAATGTCTTCTGTTCACGCTCAGAGGCACTGCTCTCCCAGTCATTTTAAAATATTAAATCTGCTGCTGCCCTCTGAAGGAGAAGGTGCTGTGCGCATAAGATGCCAGAATTTGGGCGAACAAAAGTTAACAAGCCAAAGAAAGGTTCCAATTCAGTTGGCAGCTTCGTCGCCGTTGATCAACTGTCTCTTTTTCTCTCGTTGTTTTCTGAATTACACTGAACTTTTAAGTCAGGAAGCCAAAAAAAGGAATCACGAGAAATAATAATCTGCTAAAATGAAAAATGATACAGCCTGAGAAAGAGATTTAGGACTGGGGTTGAGGGGGGAAATCTATAAAGTCAATGATGATTCAGAAGTGCTAGGAGGGGGGAACTGCTGAGCCTTACAACTTTGGAGGGTGATGAATTGGAAATTTGGCAGCATGCATCACACGGCGTTTCAAAATGGTTGTCCGAATCCCAGTTCCCTCTGCCTCCTGCCTTTCCACTGAAATTGCCTGTCAGCAGTAGGCACCTGCAAAAAAAGGCGGGGGTTACTTCTGAGTAAACATGCCTAGGATTGCGCTGGGAATCCACAGCCAGACTTTCCAAAAAGAGTCCTGCGTGGGCAGGCTATATAAAGTGTCTTACCAGATCCGCTTGCTAAATGAATTACAAGCTTCTTTGCGGTTGATTCATTTTTGCCCGGAGGCTACCGGAGATCATCCCCACAAAAGGCAATTTGCAACAAATGGTAAAATCTAGCCAAGATTTTCCTGAGTAAAAAAGCTGAAGTGGCTCAACACTGGCAGAATTCTTCAGTAGCTGCCAGCTTTTATAGAAGACTGGTGGGGCTCAGCTAGTTCATCACGCTAAACTGGAATAGAAGTACTGGCAGAAGCATCAGCGGAAAGGGGAGATGCAGATTGATTTTGTAGCTAAAGACATAGTCTTAAATGCCTTGGCTCCCGAACAAATCGGCTCCAGAACGATTAAACCCGGAAATGAGTGTTCCAGTTTTTGAACCTTCTTCTGGAAGCTGAACATCCGATGGGGCTTCTGATTGGCTGCAGGAGCTTCCTGCAGCCAATCAGAAGCCGCGCTTTGGTTTTGTTTTGGAACGTTTTGGAAGTCAAATGGGCTTCCGGAACAGATTCTGTTTGACTTCCAAGGTACGACTGTATAGGTAAAGTGCCCACAGATGGTTAAGTCCCGTCAAACTTGACTATGGGGTGCGGTGCTCATCTCGCTTCAGGCCATGGTCCTCAGACAGCTTTCTGGGTCATGTGGCCAGCATGACTAAACTGCTGCTGGTGCAACGGGACACCATGATGAGTGCCAGAGCACATGGAAACGCCATTTACCTGCCTGCCACAGCGGTACCTATTTATCTACTCATGCTGGTGTGCTTTCAAATTGCTAGGCTGGCATGAGCTGGGACAGAGCAACCGGAGCTCACCCCATCACGCGGACTTGAACTGCCAACCTTCTGATTGGCAAGTCTAAGAGGCTCAGTAGTTTAGACCACAGAGCCACCTGCTCCCTATAGCTAAAGATATATTAGTAGTGTTACTAGATATAGTATTAATGCTAGATATTACATGGCTGCTTATTGCACATTTGCTTTTCAGCATTGTATCATAAGCAGCTTCCGGAGGGTTTGTTAGAGGCCAAAATGGAGGGACAGAAATAAATAATAATAATAAAAACAGGGCTGCAATGTTTGGTTGAATAATCTAATGGTTTATTCAATGAAAAGCTGTTTGAAAAAGTAAAACGTGCTTTCAATTAATCCAATAGCACTTGTGCCAGAGAAAAATTTGTTAATTACTTTTAGTAGAAGTGGTTTACAAGAATTGCAGCTTGTGGGTGCCATTTTGAAATGGGTCCTTCTGTTTCGCACAGGAGGTAATGCCTGGTTTAACTGTGGGTTCATTCACACTTATGTTTAGCCCCATGTTTTCTAGGCACAAGATAGGCCTGCACTTTCCTGATCCGTGTCTGGGTGTTTTTTCTTAAGCCCTCTGCTTTCCCCAGGAAAACCTGCTCTTTAATGCTGAACCGGAGCAAACAGCAAGTGAGGTTTTTCGCGGCTTGCTGTTTGTGCCAAACTTTCTTCGATTGGGTAACAGCCCTAAAAATAAACAGATGTGGTGAAATAAAATAGGAAATGAGGCATTTGCACCAAAGAATGGTTTCCTCACCCCTTAAGCTGATTGTGCTGATGACTAATATCATTTTAAACCATATACCAATGACATGGGGTATGACAGCAGGTCACTGTAGATGTACTCTCCGCACCCTAACTTCCACCAAAAGACTGATATTGATTCATTGGAAAGATAATACCATGTCCCTCTTTGAGCAATGGATGGAAGATATGAAAACTCTCACAAGATATGAATGAACTGCTTTTAGACCAGGCATAGGCAAACTCGGCCCTCCAGTTGTTTTGGGACTACAACGCCCATCATCCCTAGCTAACAGGACCAGTGGTCAGGGGTGATGGGAGTTGTAGTCCCAAAAATATCTGGAGGGCCGAGTTTGCCTATGCCTGTTTTAGACACTGATTGTGCATAGATAAATACAATGATATTTGGGATGCATTCATAAAAATGCATTTATAAAAAAATCTCAGTGTCTTGTTAGTAATTTTACATTAGTTGGAATAACTGTCAAAATATATAAAAAAAAATTAAAAATTGTCCAGCAGCACCTTAGAGACCAACTAAGTTTGTTCTTGGTATAAGCTTTCGTGTGCATACACACTTCTTCAGATAATCTGAAGAAGTATTTGAAGAAGTGTGCATGCACATGAAAGCTTATACAAAGAACAAACTTAGTTGGTCTCTAAGGTGCTGCTGGACAATGATATATATATATATATATATATATATATATATATATATATAGACTGAATCAGACCAACATGGCTACCTACCTGAATTTGGAAAAACTGTATTACTTATATGCCTATATTTCGTATTGTATCACTGTTTTATGTATTTCTTTTTCTTCTTTTCTGTTGCTTTCTTTTCTCACTGAAAATTTTCAATAACATATATATATATATAGAGAGAGAGTTTATTATGCTGTGGACGCATAGCTCTGCGGCTGCTCTGGAAGAACTGCATATTTCAGACCTCCATCTCCTACTTGGCCTAAGTATTCTGCGCCGCTTCTAAGGTTCCAGTGGGAAAGAGGAAAATAAATTCTTTCTCACAAGAACTGGTCAACAAAGCTGTCATATCATAACTCTCATAGCTACAGTTCTTTACGGCGGCCCTCCTTGCTTATTGCATTTATTGCATTTTTATCCTGTCCTCTTCCCAAGGGAGTTGAGCTGATGTATGATGGTTCCCTCACTCCCATTTCTGGAGCTCCCCGCACCAGGACTCTGTGCAGTACTTTAAGATGAGAGAAAGTGCCTGGCCCAAGAATCACAGAGTTGGAAGGGGCCCTGAGGATCATCTAGTCCAACCCCCTTCAATGCAGGACTATGCAGGGGATCGGACCTGCAATATTGGCATTATCAGCACCACTCTAACCAACAGAGCTAATGAACTCCATGGCTGAACCTCTCCAGTCTAAGTTCACTGCTAGGCTACAATGGAACCAACCCCAAAGATCAGTACATAGACTTTAATATTCTCTTTGCAGCTGTGGTAGGTGTGATTGCAGCCGATTTCCTGCTAGATGACAGCAGCTCTGAGTTATTTTTGGGTGGGTTAAAAGGTAAAGGTAAAGGGACCCCTGACCATTAGGTCCATTCGTGACCGACTCTGGGGTTGAGGCGCTCATCTCGCTTTACTGGCCGAGGGAGCCGGCGTACAGCTTCCGGGTCATGTGGCCAGCATGACTAAGCCGCTTCTGGCGAACCAGAGCAGCGCACGGAAACGCCGTTTACCTTCCCGCCGGAGCGGTACCTATTTATCTACTTGCACTTTGATGTGCTTTCGAACTGCTAGGTGGGCGGGAGCAGGGACCGAGCAACGGGAGCTCACCTCGTCGCAGGGTTTCAAACCGCCGACCTTCTGATCGGCAAGTCCTAGGCTCTGTGGTTTAACCCACAGCGCCACCCGCGTCCCTTTGGGTGGATTAGGGAGCCCTTAATGAAATCTACAAGCTCTACCCTCTGTCCTTTCAAAAACGGAATCAAATCATGGCTTCCCCAAAGCATTTCTTAAAGCACGGGACAGGGGTCAAAAGCACACAGGATGAGGCTGCTGGATCAGGCCCATGGCTCACCTAGTCCAGCATCCCATTCTCACAGTGGCCAATGATATTCCTGTGGGAAACCAGCAAGCAGGACACAATCACAACAGCACTCCTCCCATTCTGTGGCTTCCAGCACTGAGTCACAGAGGGAGAGGGGGTTGTGCCCCCTCTTCCTGTAATTCAAGCAGTGGATGATGCTGTTGTGTGCGTTTCCCAGCACAATTCAAAGTGTTGGTGCTGACCTTTAAAGCCTTAAATGGCCTCGGCCCAGTATACCTGAAGGAGTGTCTCCACCCCCATCGTTCTGACTGGACCCTGAGATCCAGCTCCAAGGGCCTTCTGGTGGTTCCCTCTCTGCGAGAAATGAGGTTACAGGGAACTAGGCAGAGGGCCTTTTCAGTAGTGGCGCCCGCCCTGTGGAATGCCCTCCCATCAGATGTCAAGGAAATAACAACTACCTGACTTTTAGGAGACATCTGAAGGCAGCCCTGTTTGGGGAAGTTTTTAATATTTGAGGTTTTATTGTGTTTTTAATATTCTGTTGAAAGCTGCCCAGAGTGGCTGGGGAAACCGAGCCAGATGGGCAGGGAAAGAGAAAGCAAGCAAGCAAGATTTATTATTATGTTCTGCCTACCTAGCAACAAGTAGATTTCTTTTGCTGCTCATCCCACTTTTTGAAGTGGTGAGGTGTTTTAGGAGTGCAGCGGTTACCAAGGTTTGGTACCCTTTGAAGGAAGCCACTGGAGCCTTACCATTATTGTTGTTGTTTTGTTGTTGTTGTTGTTGACAATACAGTGGTACCTCGGTTTCAGAACAGTTCAGTTTAAGAACAATTCGGTTTACAAACTCCGCAAAACCAGAAATAGTGTCCGGGTTTGAGAATTTTACCTCAGTCTAAGAACGGAATCCGAATTGTGGAAGGGCACTGGCAGCGGGAGGCTTCATTAGAGAAAGCGCGCCTCGGTTTAAGAACGATTTTGGTTTAAGAACGGACTTCCAGAATGGATTAGGTTCATCAACCAAGGTACCACTGTATTTAAGTTTTTTTCAGGTTGAGCATAGGGGGAGGCATATCTCCGTGCTCCAACAGACAGCCAAACCCACTTGCCCACAGTAGATCTTCAGAGAGAGAGAGTGTCGACCCGACACCCAAAATACTGTTGGCTTACAGGGTCCAAGGTGAGTCCTCTCTCTTGGGGAGTTTAAAAGTATGGAGGGGTAGGCATACAAGCTCCACTCTCAATATCCTGACATGTCTCTGATCCGCTTTAGATATTATTGCCTTGAGAGGGAATGTCTGGAGGGGTGTTTGTGTTGCAAACTTGGTTAGCTGAACATGCTCAAAATTCTCCGTGTCTGGGAACTCTGCCTAGGGCTTTAGTCTCCCTCGGAACCCACAGATATTGTTCTATTCGCATAGAGACCCCTAGATTGCTAGCTTATTGCTAGCTATATGTGGTGGAGAGAAAGATATTCCCCTTGTTTTCAAGCACCATCTGCCTAAGGAAGATCATCTAACCATTTGTACCCATGGAAGCACATCACTGGAGCACCCTGGGATATTGACATTCATTTGCCAAGTTCAGGATTTCGGCCAGGCAACCCAGAGTGATAGACCTCTGTTCACCAAAACTCATAGCATTATTCGATCATTCTGGGGTGCTAACTGAGAAAATGGCACTGGGGGGTTAACCCCATCACCCAGTTCCCTATCACAAATCTTATTCTCTCTCACACACCCATCCCAGCTATTCACTTTTGATCGTTAACTGCTGGAGATCTATCACAGACCTCTTGACATCATGGTCACACCTAGCCGCGTCCTGAGATACTGTATTTGAGGTAGAGGTCATCTACCTGACGTGGATAGGAAGACCCCTCCTGCCCCCCTCAGCTTTGGGCAGAGACTGGTCTGAAGCCACCAAGACATCAGGATTCCTTTGGAGCACAGAACCACCAGATAATCCTGGGAGAAATCAAAACACAAAATCCTCCTCGTCTTTCATGCAATTGAGAGATTTGGCTTGGAAATGTAACCCCAAAGTAGCCATCATGTGACGTTTCTTTAAAAAAATAAACGCCTTGACCCCTAGACTGAGGTTGTCTTCCTTGAGTGGCTTTGGCTAAGCCGTTAATTCTCTCCCAGGCCTGGAGTTATTAGTCATCAGACAAAAGCTGCAGAAAGACCCCTTCCCATGCCCTTCTTTATTACTGTGCATTAGCTAAGAAATATGCGTCTCCCAGTGATGGAAACAGCATCACTGTGTACATTTTTTAAACGATTCAGTACTTTAGGAATTCTGAGAGGAATTTGAAGAGGGGTTGGCGCGGAGGTCAGGCCCACAGCCAGATATTTTGAGATCTGTTCCTCATTTTGTAAGAGTGAACTAAAAGCAACGCTGAATGGGACTGGCTTCCTGCCTCTGCATCCCCTTCTCAGTCTCTATGCCAGGCCATGTTTCCATGATTCTATGGCCTGTGGTATCAAGCAGAGATTATCCATTCCTTTTATTTGTATGCTACTTTACCACACAGGGGGACGCGGGTGGCCTAGGAATTGCTGATCAGAATGTCGGCGGTTTGAATCCCCGTGACGGGGTGAGCTCCCGCTGTTCGGTCCCTGCTCCTGCCAACCTAGCAGTTCGAAAGCACGCCAAAGTGCAAGTAGATAAATAGGTACCACTCCGGCAGGAAGGTAAATGGTGTTTCCGTGCGCTGCTCAAATACAGTATCTCAGGACGCGGCTAGGTGTGACCATGATGTCAAGCGGCTTAGTCATGCTGGCCACATGACCCAGAAGCTGTACGCCGGCTCCCTCGGCCAATAAAGCGAGATAAGCGCCACAACCCGATAGTCGGTCATGACTGGACCTTATGGTCAGGGGTCCCTTTACCTTTACCTTACCACACAGAAGGGGGGGGAATGTTCAAAGAAAACAGGAATGCGTTTCAAAACCAAACACTGCGAAAACCATTTGAGAACAATACAGCAAAACAACACAACAGCAAATCTAATAACATACAAAAACCTTTTCAGTACAGTGGTACCTCGGGTTAAGAACTTAATTCCTTCTGGAGGTCTGTTCTTAACCTGAAATTGTTCTTAACCTGAGGTACCACTTTAGCTAATGGGGCCTCCCGCCGCCGCCACGCGATTTCTGTTCTCATCCTGAAGAAAAGTTCTTAACCCGAGGTACTATTTCTGGGCTAGTGGAGTCTGTAACCTGAAGTGTCTGTAACCTGAAGCATCTGTAACCAGAGGTACCACTGTACTATAAATATAACAAGATTATGTAAACAACATCCAACAGCAAAAATAACAAGTCAGGTTTGCAGTTTTGTCTTCGTCCTGGAAGCACACACCACCCAGTGTTGTTCACAGACCCTCTTCCAAGAGTGGAGCGATCTCTGGTGTCCTGCATCCTAATAATCAAACTAAAAAAAGGCACCAATTGCAGCTTCTAAGGCTCCAAGGGACATTGGGATCCTAAGGTGAGGTTGGGGACTTTAACTGGTAGGGAGCTTCAACCCTCCGTTGTAGTCTCGAATCAGTTATGCATTTTGCACTGCGGGGAGGGATGCTCCTATTTGCTCCAGTGGTGGTTGAGGAAGTGGGGGAGAGGGGCTTGATCCCAGGTGCCAGAACTCCTGGCTTGAGACTCCTTGCACGCTCATCCCTTCAAGTAAGTTGACTGCCTGACCATTGGCCACCAGCCTTGTAGAAAGATGAGTGGCTTCTCTG